TTTTACATCATCGTGCCATTCAGTAGGGTCACTAATATTTACCAATATCCTCAAACTTCAATGAACGTGTCCATATATAGTTGTCTTTTAAATACAGATAACTTCTGAAAATTCTTAAAATAATCATCACTCCTCCATATACTGATCAGTATCCAAGAGACATGAATAACTCATGATGACTTCTTATCACGGCTACATACCTTCCCGTACCGGATGTAGTGGTCGAGATGAGTCTGTTCAGCCCTCTTTTTCTTCAGGTCAGTGACCAGATGCTTCCTTGTTGCTCGTTCTTCGCTGGATCTGTCTGGACATATCCATACATCTTTGTGCGTCTCCCTCAGTCTCCCTGTTTTCATCAGAATCTGATGAACCGCTGTTGAGCTTGGGACGGTGATCTTGACTGGTCGGATAGCCGTACTACCTGGCCTCTTCCAACCGACTCTAGTCGCTTCGAAGTGAGGTTTCTCCCCGATCTCCTCCAAAACTGCGGTAACTAGCGCTGGAAGCTGTTCTTCCTCCTCTTCTTTCAGCCCAAACACGATCAGGTTCTTGCTCCTGTCCTCCTCTGCAGCCACACTCTTCATCACCTTCTTCAGGATTTTACTGTTACAGACCGTACCACTTGCACTGTTCTGTTGAACAGCTGCACTATAGTTCTGAATCCCAGACTCCACCGTTGTTTGTACTACATCTCCTCAACAGACGTCTTAAGCAACTGTAGTTGTTCGTCCTTCTGCATCAGCAGCTGGCCCTGCAGTCTGATCACCTTTTCTTTGTCTGCTAGTGCTTCCGTCTTGAAGCACTCGATGATCTCCTTCAAGAGATACATCTGACTACTCTGCCGACGAACAAGGTCCACTGCATCCACAATCCAGCCAGACAGAGTCAGTTTATCCTTAGTCTTGATCTTTTCACGACTTTCGTAGTCAATTTCACGGTAGTCAATATGCAGGTCTTTTTCTAACTGAATGGACCAGCGTGCAACACAGCCTTCCACATCTTCCTGTTGATCATAGTTGAACTCCTTAATCAACTCCTGGGATCGGGTCAAAGTTGGGTCATCCGCCATAGTGTACTTGTATAGTAATGTACAAGTACACTACCTAATTTGTTCAATTTTAGGGAGGGGCACCAAAAGGGGATGGGCGCCAACAGGGGGGCGTTTTTTTCGGCAGGGGGCGCCAACAGGCAACGTTACGCCACTGAGCATATTCACGATTTTTTTAGCTCAATTAATTGAGTGAATCGAAAAGAGAGAGCCAAAAAGTCGTATCAATGTAGTGAAAAATTGGCCATGGAACTAGAGGGTTACAAGTTCACTGAGGAGTGAGAATGGCACAATACAAGACACGATTTAATTGAGGTACTCAAAGTTTTATTTTCAAAGAAAAGCTATTTCCCAAGAAAGCTTTGATAAACGGAAAATCATCGAAGTATAAAAAGAGATTTTGGAAGATTTTTGAAGAGGAGCTTTTCTGCCGTCCCCTTGACCAAAATTTGGCGGTTTTGAATGAAATTTTCACCAGTGACCAATCAGTGAGAGTGACAGAAGTCGACATTAAGGTACTGGAAGCAGTATATTCAGAGAAAACTTTGATGCAATGAAAATTTTGAGTATGTCCTACCGGCGCGGTAGGACATATTCGAATTTCAGCTTTCCGCTACCCAAATTTCACGGTTTCGACTGAATTTTTCTTGCATGACCATCTTACAAGTTCACTGAGGATGTCAGAAGACTCGATGGAGATACACAAAGAACTATTCCCAAAGAAAGCTTTGATAAACGGAAAATCATCCAAATGTAAAAAGAGATTTGGAAGATTTTTGAAGAGGAGCTTTTCTGCGGGTCCCCTTGACCGAAATTGGGCGGTTTTGACTGAAATTTTTACCAGTGACCAATCAGTGAGGTTGGTGAGAGTGAAACAAGTCGCCATTATATTATATTATTATTATTAAGGTTGCCTTCTACACCTACAAGAAAGTCTGGTTGAATAGTTCTGTTCAGATCAGTGAGAGTAGAAAGCTGAAGCTGTACGAAGCTCTTGTCACTTCAGTGTTGTTGTATAACTGTAGCAGCTGGGCTGCTCCTGAAACCGTAATGGCATCTGTCGACGTTCTTCAAAGGAAGCATCTGAGACAGATAATCAACACCTATTGGCCTACGGTTATCAGCAACGAGAATTTATATAAGAGATGTAATGTCAGACCCCTTACTGAAAGGATCAAGAAAGCAAGATGGAAGATGCTTGGGCACGTTCTCAGAAGCGGTGATGACACTCCCGCCTTCTTATCTTTCAGATTTGCATGTTTAGGATGTTTTGACTACAAAGGAAGGAGGGGCAGACCTCGTTCAAATTTATTTGATTTATTATTAAAAGACATTATGACAAAACAAATTATTGTGATTGTAAATAAAAGATTTAGTTTAAGTAATTTCAACGATTTAGTGTACAAAGCTCATGATAGACGCCTTTGGAGAAGTTATGGGTGAGTCGAGACTACTCGGCCACTCGATTTTATGATTTAATTTATATTATCTTGTGTTTGCTGTACATAGTTGATTAATAATTATTAAGGTACTGGAAGCAGTATATCCGGAGAAAACTTTGATGCAATGAAAATTTAGAATATATCCTACCGGTAGGACATATTCCCAAATTTCATTGTTTTGACTCAATTTTCTTTATTGAAGGGGAGATTACTGCTGACATTTTTGGTTAGTTTGTATCAAATAATTATTTAAATTATTATCTATTTTGGATACAACAATTGCATATTAATTTAATTTAGAAATTATCATATTATCTAAAATCCAATCTCATTTGTTTATTCTTTGTAAGCTATGATTTCACTAAATTGATACTGCACTATAAAACGTCCCAATCTATCAATCGTGTTTCACAGTTTGCGAAATATATCCGTAGTAGTGCATACAGGAAACCTCCATGGCTTACAATTGCAATGTTTTGTTCTGGCCGGTATTGTATCCACTTTTTAAATGTTCTTACTCTGTTGTATAATTCATCTCGTGATTCGTATTCTGGCCACCACACCTGCAATTGATAATAATTGAGAAATAGCGCGACACTAGGTGAGACTTTCTTAAAATTTACTGCCTTCAATGTTGTCTAGCATCACAAAATAATCACAAATTTCCTTATAAAATTTGACTATAATTTATTGTTGCTAAAGGGATACCTCTGGCGTCTGCATGAAATTGACATAGTGCCAGACACGCTTCAGCTGACTGACAGGCCTTCCTTCGTTACATTTGGCATCACATAGCTCTGTAATTAGACTACATGCTTCCAGTCTAGCAGTCTGAAATAGGAATACAAGCATGACTTTTAGTTCTTCAAAAGAACAAAATTTACATAATCAATAATAATTGTAGAATCTGTGTTTTATTGAGATTAATTTTGTGCAATTTCCATCTTTATATAGTTTAGCGTTGATTTACGGATGTCAATTGCAATCTCAAAGTAAGATAAGTGGGAGCACTTTTGTAATGAACCTAGATTTGCCAGGTATAGTACCTGATCAAAAAATCCTCCTGATGCAGTCTGCAGAGTTCTTGTTAGAGGGCTTACAAGAATGACTTGTGGAATGTAGCCATGCTTAACCATGTTGATCACTTTCCTTCTTAAATTTTGTACCTGATAGAAGTATGAAACGAATTATAAGTTAATTAATCAATGTATTAATAATTGTAGGTCTGCTCAACAGCTCAATTTATTATAATCTTGGATAATAGATACAGTACTACAATATAAAAACTACAATCTGATTGATCACTGCTACCGTCCACGTCTATATAAACATAATAGAATTATACACCCAACCATAATTAAAAACGTGGGTAGTGGATGGTAGCTATGATCAACCGATACTACTTTCAAGTAAGTATCCACATTAGTTCCACATTCTTGGAAATGAACTGTACAGAAAAAAAGGATATTGATTTGAACATTTTAAAAGAATGTTAGCTTGCACTGTGGAAACCTGATTGTGGCCGACTGGTGTCAATTGTGGATCCAGGATTTGTAAAGCATTCTGTTTGAAGCCGCTTGCATACAGTGAATTGTGGTAAGCCTCAGCGTGTCTGACAAACAGCAATTTTTTCTTTATACTCGGAACTGAACGTGGTACAGGTGTCGGGAGGGTCTGTGTTGGGGTCTGTGTTGGGGTCTGTGTTGGGGTCTGTGGGGGAGTAAGGAAGGTTTGTGAAATTTGCTGAGGATTCCACTGTTTTTGAGGATTGTCTCTTCTGTTTGCTATGTTGTGAGTAAATACTGACAGGTTTTGAGTGTGTGCCCCGTTTTGATACGAAGGTTTTTGTGATCGGTCGTTAAATCTGACTATTGGAGTATGTTGGTGGTGGATGCAAGGATGAGAATTCCATAAGGTCGGTTGTGAATACATCTGTTCAGACATCTCACCAGACTTTTGAAGCAGCGACAAGTAAGATCAAATGAAGTCAAAAACATAGTGAATACATAGTGAATACATGCGATTGTCTACATCTTAAATTAGACTGGTAAACCACGAGAAATATGTTGGTATGCCATGCAGAATACCATGGATTAAGGTGTTTGTGTAAGCCTACAATTTAACAAGTGACATCACCCATGTTTTTAATTGGATCTTATCACTTATGTAATGACTTTTGGTTGATACATATTACGTATACATACATATTACATACATATCTGTGTTTCCTGAACTATACAAGTGTCGTAACATGTTCCGAGAGATGATCTTGACAATGAAAATCAGGAGTTACGAAAACTACTGATTCTCAGTAACAATTAGATAAGATTTAAATGAAGTCGCATTATATAGTAACTAAAACATATTAAATGTTATCTTAATATTAATCTACATGTGTGATATTTTCTGAGAGCACATTCATAGTTTCCTTTTATTTTGATAATATTGCTTCTCAATTCAGTTATTAGTTTAAAAAAATCACTTTCAACTTTTTACTTGCAATGTTTTATAGGTAATAATATGAGTAAAGAAGAATAACAGGAACAATGAACTGGGTTGGTGGTTCAAGGTTAGTTTGAGTGGGTTAAACGTTTGTCTCGAGGTATTTTTTTACCATATAAAATAAAATAATAAAATTTGGTAGCTTAAACACAAACTCTAAGCCCAGTGGATAAACCACAAAACTTATGCTCTATTGTGTGAAACAAAGATACTAGATCAAGATAACTATCAAGGAGTGTATGCATAGGACATAAAAAGTTTTGGAACGAAGATGACATGCTTATGAAGCGAGCTAACAGTCTAATTGCTAATAAGTTCAAAAAGATCATGACATTAGGTTGCATCCTAAACAGTTTAAGCAAATAACATAAAGTTATATTGTCAATTAATCGCTCATGCCATGACTTAACTCTTGACTTACTTGACTTGACTTAAGGCGGCTTCAGCGTCCGAGTATTGATGCGCTGTCTCCATAAAACTCTATCCGCCATAAGTCCGCCCATTTCTCCAGTGTCGTTGAGACCCGTGTCAGCTCGTAGGCTATCAACATAGGTCATGGCTGGTCTCCCCCTACTCCGCACCCCATGAGTTGGTTCCCAGAGTAGCAAGCGGTTTGCGACTAGTTCTGGGTGCCGGTGGATATGGCCTGCTAGTCGCATCCTGCGCTCTTGGATCTTCATGGTTGCTCTCGGTAGGTTGCCATAGACTTCTTTGTTGGTTTTTCGCTGCTTCCAATCCACATTAAGTGCCATCCTTAGCATTCTAGTGTAGCAGCCATCAATGCGTTTCTTCAATTGCTCTGTCAACGTCCACGTCTCAGAACCATAAAGAAGTATTGACTCAGTAGCAACAAATAGACGGATCTTTAGTCCTCTTCTAAGGTCAGACTTCCACATCTTCTTTAGCTTGTGGCAAGCTGCCCAAGCCTTAGCTTTTCTGACCCGCAGGTCCCTCTCTGTTGTTGCTATCCAAGCTCCAAGGTAAACAAAGTCTGTCACCTTTTCCAGCTGGTTTCCAGAACAGCTATTAAGACTGCTCGCCTCCTCTGTCATGTTCAGAGTCATGAACTTAGTTTTAGTGCCGTTCATGGCTAGCCCAACACTCAGTGCTGCTTTCTCAAGCCTGTCCAGGAGTAGTTTTGCCCCTTCAATGGTATCAGTGATAAGGGCAACATCATCTGCAAACTCGACGTCTGCGATCTTCTCGGCCCCAATCCTTCTACTCCGTGCAGGCCTGAGAGTGAACCCAGAGTCCGAGTCATCATCGTCTATAGTCACTGTCATGATATAGTCAATCACGATAATGAACAAGTACGGGGCTAGAGTGTCTCCTTGCAGTACTCCAGCCAGGATATCAAAAATTTCTGTTATACCATCGGCTGTAACTACTTTAGCCTTTGTGCTCGTATAGATACCCTCAATGAGCCGCACTATGGCTTCTGGTATGCCATATGCTTTCAATATCTTTATGAGCAAACCTCTATGCACACTATCGAACGCCTTTTTGAAATCAATGAAAACCATGGTGGCCTTAAGATTTTTGGCTCTAGCACCCTCCATAATTCTTCGTAGAGCCAGGATGTGCGATGTTGTAGAGCGCCCAGGTCTAAAGCCATTCTGGTTGTCCCTTAAAACTTCCTCAAGACTTGGCTTCATCCTGTTCAGCAACATTTTGTTCAGAGTTTTACTGACTATCGATGTCAGAGATATTCCTCTGTAGTTGTCGGTCTTAGTGAGGTCCCCTTTCTTTGGCACAGGAACAATATTGCTGAGCTTCCATTGATCGGGCATGAGACCATCACATAATGCATCGTTGCAGAACTTCAGGATGACGTCATCGATGTCCACCCTTTTCATCACTTCAGGTGAGATACCATCATCACCATAAGCTTTGCCTTCTACTATCTGCTTTTTGGCAAGACGTAGTTCCCCAATGGTGAACGGGCCATCCTCTATATTCAGTGGAGGGTGTATATTCCTGATCGGAATGCTATTGTCAGGGACTGTGGGTGGCTGTCCAAGTAACCCAGAGAAGTGCTTCCTCCAGTTCTCAAGACGTTCTGTTGAGCTGCCCCCTTCCACGAGTCCACAGCTGGGATTTGTCCTCCCTGAAATATCGTTGACAAGCTTCCAGCTTTCCTTGTTCTTACAACGATCAGCAGTATCCTCAACTTTCCTGATCTTTCCTTTCAGGATCTCCTCCTCTACCTCTTTGTAGCAGGCCTTTAACAAATCCTTTTTAGTGGCGACTTCCTCTCTCTTCTCCTCACAAGGCTCCTGATGGTATTGGTCCTTGGCCAAGAACAGTCCCCTCCTAGCACTGTCCACTCTTGGGTCACTTGAGGGGTCAATCTGCTTTTGTCGAGTCTTCTTTGGCAGAAGGCTCTTGTTTGCCGCCTCAATAGCAACCATAAGCTTCCCGTAGCTTTCAGTGGCCCCATCATCCTCCTCTACCAGGCCAGAGAATCTATTCCGAACTTCAATTGCATACTTTTTTTGTAGCTCACCATCCGACTTCAGGGCACTATAATCATAGTTAACTTTTTTCGGAGGCCTGTGTCCTTTCCTAAAGCTAACTTTGATCTTACACACTACAACTCTGTGATCAGATCCCAACGACTGAAAAGTGTTGTAAACTTCAGTGTTCTTTAATGAGTTTTTCCACTTCCGCCGTATGAGGATATAGTCAATCTGACCTTAGTTAAGTGTCCCATCGGATAAGAAGGTCCACCTCTTGTTGACCTTCTTTCTGAAGCGGATATTGGTAATTTCCATATCACACTCCAGGGCAGTGTCTCTCAGTAGCTCTCCATTCCGATTGGTACGAGTATGAAAGTACCAACGGGAATCTTCTTCACTCTCCTTTCCAAGCCGGGCGTTCATATCTCCCTCTGTGATCAGCAGGTGGTGCGCTGGCACATCATTCATAGCCTGTCTAAGGGTGTTATGGAAATCCTCCGCTTCTTCAACTAGTGCTGCCTCGGTAGGACTATAGGCAGTTATAGTTGTGAGTCTGGGATTTCCGTTGAAAGAGATAGTCAGCACCCTTGAGCCATAGGGTTTAATGAGGCTGATTGCGCTGTATGCTCTTCTAGTCAGCAGAAAGCCCACTCCACCAGTGGCTGCTCCTGCTCCATTCCTCCATGCTGAAACAGTTACCAAGCTAACCCCAGGTCCTTGAACTTTTCGATCTTGATCGGTTCCTGGTGGACAATCCTATGTTCTTGGATCCCAAGGATCTCCATGCCACTCTCCAGAAACTGAGTCACGAGTTCAAGGCGCTTGTAACCTTCTCTAGCAGTTCGGACATTAAATGTCCCTACTAGAGCTACCTCACTACAAGAAACCAATGCATCCCCATCCTTTTTTTGTTGTTTTAAATGTTATTTTTTGTGCCGGGTGAAGGAGCCGGCATATCATCTGTCACCCCTCTCCTAGGGAGTTTTAGGGTGGGAGAGTCATCAATCCGGTCCCCTCCGACATCTAAATCAGTGGTAGGGACTTTAACCCTAGTGTTATTATAAGACATCATCAAACTGCCATAACTTTTCTTAAACAGGTGAGTTTTTAATAATGTTTTGAACAGATAAACATAAGAACAAGTCTTAATTTCAATTGGTAGTTGGTTCCAGATTTTCGGAGCAACAGTCTGAAACGCTCTTGGGTGCGATCTTGTAGATCCGACAGGTAGGTGTAAGGAGGAAGTTCTTCTGCTACTCGAACTAACAAATGTTACTAGATCACACAGATATGCAGGAGCAACACCATTGACTGCTTTGAAAATCAGTAAACATAACTTAAACTCAATCCTTTCCTTCACCTTGAGCCAATGAAGGGATTTGAGCTTCTCCTCGACTGAGTCTCTCTTCTTTAATCCAAAAACCAGACGGCATGCTCGGTTCTGAATGTTCTGCAGCTGCGTAATTGATGCTTGACTACAACCATAGTAAAGCGCATTGCAGTAGTCAAGCGATGAGATTACAATTGCTTGAGTCAGTGTTCCCATCTGTTTGGTTGTTAGGAATGTTTTCATCTTAGCAAGGTCTCTTAGTTTTAGAAAACACGATGTTTTAAGTTGCTTGATTTGCTCACCAAAGTTTAGTTGAGAGTCGAGACGAAATCCGAGGTTCTTTGCAACAGGTGACAGTCTGACACACGTCTCAGAGTTAACAAACACGCCCCCTATAGACAGCTGCTGGAGAACAAGCGGTGTCCCAAAGACAAGAATCTCAGTTTTTCCTGCATTGAGCTGTAGATAATGTTTTTTCATCCAGTCATTAATTTCTTGGAAACATTTGGGAACATCGTCGATAAGGACGGTGGGCTCCTCGTTTGGCTTGAAACTTTTATACAGCTGATGATCGTCGGCGTAACCCTGGATGGAGAAGTTCAAATCATGTGCTGCTGAGTACAAAGAGCGAATGTAGATGTTGAACAGGACCGGACCCAGCACAGAGCCCTGTGGGACTCCAAACTTAATCACTATCTCATAAGATTCCTCATTTCCAACTTTAATCGTTTGACATCTACCTGTGAGGAAGCTGCTGAACCATTTCCAAGCTGTCCCTGTTATTCCCAACTCATTTCTGAGGATACTGATATCTGGATATTATCCGGTTGGAAGAGACAAGGACAAGTGAAACAAGGAAGTTAGGAGTAAGGGCAAATTTTCGGCGTCAACGCCATCTTCAGGCTCAAATTATTTGTTATATAGTAGTGTTGAAAGTATTAAAACAGATATCAGTATTTCAATCATGAGACTAATAAACAGCGAACTACTCCGTTATTTGATATTTCTGAGGATGTTCAGTAGTTTGCAGTGGTCAACTGTATCAAAAGCTGCGCTGAGATCTAGGAGAAGAACAACAGTTGCCTTGCTTTCTGTAGATGCAATGAGCAGATCGTTAACAACTCTCACAAGCAGAGTCTCGGTGCTGTGTTTTGATTTGTATCCAGACTGCTGTGGGATCCAGACTGCTGTGGGATATGCATATTATTGATAAAAAGTATCCTAATATTAATCTTGTAGTACTTATTTTGGCATGTCTTAACCATTATGATTATAATATATAATACATTTCAGGAACAGGATCAAGCTGAATGAAGAAGAAAAAAAGAAAAAGGTTTGTCAACTTAAATTTCTTGAACCGTCAAATGCTAGTCAGTGAACTCACTGTTCATAAATTCGGTCCAGTAATTTTGAAAGTGATACATCTATTTAAATCAAAGTTCTCTCTAACTTCCAGTCTTCGTGCTACGTAATCTGCTTTATTATCTCCCCCAATTCTGTGCCCATCTATTTATAATTTGTATGGAAATTAGGTCATCTCAATAGCGTAACATAATTAATAATTAAACTGATAGTTAAACTGGCATATTTTAAGATAATTTTATTTAGGAGTTTTTTGAGCGTCAAAGACATCGTGGTAAAGAGGCATTAGCAAGCTCAAGTAAATCAACAGTGAGTCAAGATGTTATCGGGATGAAAACAGTAGATAAAGCCAACAGGAATCCGTGGCAACTCACCACCAAAGGTTATTTTATTTTCAGTTAAAGATATTATATTAATCTGACTATTTTACTCGTTGCTGTTGCCTGTTTGCAAGATAATCTTTCCAAGGTCTTATTAATATTAAGTTATTAATCTTATGATAATAGGAGATCGCTCTCAAAAAGCAAAGTTACCTGATAATGGCAGTTTAAAGAGCAACACTTCAAGATTACATCATGTAGACATGTCTCCTACTCTTGGAAAGTCAGGTAACAGTTAAATAGTAAGGACCAATAAGACCATGTACGAACATCTCAAAACTTGCAAAAGTAACATAATGTCATATTATTGCCCTCGTTTTATACATAGTTTCCTACTTTTCGTCAAAGGGATGAATTGGGGGGGGGGGGGGGGGGTTGCAACGACCATTAATGTCAGTAGATGGAATTTTGTCAAAACTGACATTGTCATTAATGGTCATTAATGGTCATTAAATGTCATTAATGGTCAATAATGGTCATTAATGGTCATTAAATAATTGAATTTCTGAACTATCTTGGAAGCAACATGTCCAAGAAATTTACAATTATGATCACTTTGTACAGTATCACTTCTACAGTATCACTTCTAGATAAAGTTTCTCACAGCCCCCTACATAGATTGCCAGAGTCTCGTTTGAGAAAACGAATTAATATTCGCCTAATAGAGGCTCGGACCTCGGTTTCGGAATGAGTGCCAAGCACCATTCTGTTATACGTTGGTAACTTGTCTTGCCTGTTTGCTTGTTTGCATTTGACTTAGTATAAATGCTTGTTTGCAGTTGACTTAGTATAAATGCTTGTTTACAGTTGACTTAGTATAAATGCTTGTTTGCAGTTGACTTATTATACATGCTTGTTTGCAGTTTGCGTGGATTTGAATTGTATTGATTTCCTTTATTTGTGTTGATTGCTTTTGATAATTTGGATTTTCAATACCTCCTCACAGTACCTTCTATGCCATCGTCGAACATTGCCATGGCAAGTATTTCTCAACTCTGGTATAGGGCTGCTTTTAATCTAATGGTTTGATGTTACGATTTACTTTAATTAAATAGTAATTAGAATATTTTAAGCGAATGCTGAATCAGTTTCTTTTACTTATTTGTATAAAAAGTCCTACTTGAATAGTGACAGTGATTTAATTCGTGCGAAGGCCAACCGTGTTGCATTGCAGTTTTCCGAACTGTACCCTGGTGATGATGAAAGAGAAGAGGAATCAGATAATGAGTCAGATTTCGTCGCACCAGATAGTGAAAGTGAAGACAAGGATCTTCATGACTTAGTTACTATAAAAAACAAGAAAATGAACACAAACACCGCTATTACGAAGTTCTGTAATTTTGGTAAGACGATATTTGGAAATAAAAGTCGGAGATCGAAATTTTTTGGTACCGGCTGTTTCGAGGGTTCTGTGCCATACCAACCGGGCTGCAAAAATTCTTCTAAGCCCTGTCAACGTCGAACAATTCGAAAGGGCGACTCATTAAGTGCTACCTTTGTTCCAAAAAAGGCTAAACGTCCCCTTCGTTGCCTCGGTACCATCTTATCAATGAGTGTCTCTGCTTCAAAAAAGGGCAACTGCAGATCTAGACGAATTCCTGCCGCATCAATTTGTCCCTATCATGATGACAGTGCTCGATTTTGGGTCAAAACTGCCGAAGGCAGAGTATTGAACTGTAAACGAATTGTTCTATCTTATCCTAGGAAAAGATCAGCTTTTTTGTTGTCCGATTCAGACTGATGACGATGTATTTCATGAAGTGCTAAAGTTGAATAAGTTCATCTACTGTGTAATTACTATATATAATCGAGTGGCATAATGATTTGGCTAAAATATAAATCTTGATATGATATAAGAACGGGAACGAAGTATTTAATTTTAATACCCGTGTTATTATTATTTTATTATTGATTGTTATTTTACTATTGATACGATCTGATACTCCTAAATTACCCTTTGAATTATTATTATTGATAACTATAAGTCACCAACTGTTATCTGGTTTAAATCCCGTGGCCGGAAAATTTGTTCTTCATTACATTCGAACTTAATAAATGTATATATATGTAATCCCTAACTCACTCTGGAATCCACTCAAGTGATATTCTGGAAGGTCTGCCTAACCACGGAAGATTCTATTCTAAGTTTTCTCTTTCGAATCTCTAATTGTAAATGTAAAATAATAACATATACTTGTAGTTAGTTAACTTAAGGTAGGGTCTAAGTGATGCAGGCGTCCGTCCTTTTCGCTCTAAGAAGTGCCGGAAAAAACATGACCATTAATGTCAGTAGATGAAATTTTGACAAAACTGACATTGTCATTAATGGTCATTAATGGTCATTAATGGTCATTAATGGTCATTAATGGTCATTAATGGTCGTTGCAACCCCCCCGATGAATTTCAGATTGACGAAATGGAATTATTCCAGTGCTTCGTAACAGTTTTACGAAAGAGTTGATAAATCCGGATTTTTGGAGCCAAATTATAGCCACTTTGGAGCTGGGGAAAAATAGGGACATTGGTTTAGTTGCCCTAGGTCATAAATTGAGTCATAACTAATTGTAAATGATGGATCAAATTATTATCTAGGCCTAGGGGCCATCAACTAAAGCTGCAAAAATTGTCACAGGGTACATAAAATGAACGAAAATGAACGTTTTCCTAATAGCGTCCATGATGACCCAAAATAGGTCGAGTTGTAACGTGTTTGTGTTGATCCTAGGACCACCCCGACCAAGTTAACAAGTCATCACATTTCTAGAACCGATGTGGGGGGACCAGGGGTATGAGGATTGAGGTGTCCCGAAAGTCCAATTTGTCCCAATAATCCCCCAGAGTGGCATCCACTGTTATGTAAAGCGCGAAAATGTTTGTATGTGAAAAATCTTAAATTTTACACAGCATGCTTGACATAAACTGCGGCGCGCACATGTTTTCAGTATTAGTTTGCGCGTCATTCTTGGCTACCTTACTCGGGATTATTATGACCGGGATAAAGTGGTGGGTTTAGGGTAATTTCGCCATATTTTTCCCGAACCACATTTTCACCGGTCGTTAATAAACCCGCCTACTCAGCTTTTAGGGTTCCCAAGGGGTATGGGTGCTCATATTTTAATCGTTGTCTTATATTCACTAAAGAAGACTATTGGGACACTTGTTGTAGGTTTTTCTACTTCATTTGGCTAAAATTGCAAAAAATTCACCTTTTTGCCCAATTCTTGTCATATATCCTTATTGTCAAATTTGATTTAAATAGGCCAATTTTTAATTTCTTAGGTATTGACTATCTCTATTCTCTACATAATGAAATAGGACTCAAAGTAAAAGTAACAGTTAAATTAAAACTTGAATTAATTAAAACTGATGAAAGGGATGATCCAGATGAATATAACGAAGATGATTACAACTTATTGGAAGACTAAACAGCTCTCCCTTTATCTTAATATCGATCTGGTTGTTACGCTTCAAATGTTAAAAATTATTTTCCATCTAGTTTGATTAACCACGAGTCATTATTTCTGTCTACTTTCAACAATTATTGATAATTCGACTTGTTTCACAAGTTTTAGCAATGCGAAAATTTCTAAACTTGCTTATCTCTAATTAGGAAATTTACATCTGAGACAAAATTTTTGAATCTAAAATTGAAAGGTTGGACACCGGTAAAATGGCGACCGGGAAAATGTGGTGGGTTTTGAGCAATTTCGCCATATTTTTCCCGAACCATATTTTAACCGGTCGTTAATAAACCCGTCGTAATAATCCCGAGTAAGGTATATTATTAATTTGATCTGTTATGTAGCTGCGAGACGTCAAACTCAGTGCTGAGTGCTATAAACTTGATACAATATCATGTGTTCTTTCAGGCCTAGATAGACGTCCACAAGAAATACTCCAAAGAGCTTTACGGGGTCCAAGCGCAGTAAGTTACTTATTACAAATTCAAACTGTTACGATAAACGATAATTTCTTCGGGTCCTGGTAAGGGCCTAGCGCCTTGTTTTACGTTAATTGTAGGAAACAAGCTTGACTCACCTAAACAGTTAAAAGTCGGAAGTGACAATCCTTCACTACTATCAAATAACCGCTAATTTTGCCAAACTTACTGCTATTGTGACCGGTGAAATCTATACTTTTACACACTTACTGTAACTCAGCTGCTAAACAATTCTCCCCTTTACTTAGACTGCCTAATCTGCAGATGGTGTCATCACTGATCAGTCCTGGTTAATTTACAAATTTTCCTTAGGTCTCTTGATTTTCAATTTTCCAACAAAGTTGAAGTTGCAAATGCCATGTTACTTTTTTTTCTTTTTTTTTCAAATTTAAATTTGTATCCATTATTTGACCAAAACCCAGAATTGGGTAGAGTGGAACGCTGCCAGTTTCTCTCTTTCCCGAACAAAAGTTAATGATATTAATTTAAATGACCGTCCGTAAATGCAAAATGATACCGAGAATGAAATCAGTCGCTCGCTTTTCCCATTCATTCACGGCTTACGGATTGTAATACTAATAAGTTTCGATTAATTACATCAATCACATGCTGTAAAAATCTGCTTTCGGGTCGATACCTAGCATTTCGGGATAAGGGCGGTAGTTAGTGTCCAATAAGCTGATGTTTATTGGATCGTTATTGCTGACTACAGCTGCCTTCGGGTAGTTCTTCTTAATCTATTACAATAATTGTAATTGTAAATGAATGGGAAAAGCGAGCGACCGATTTCATTCTCGGTATCATATTGCATTTACGGACGGTCATTCAAATTAAGGTCGTACATCAGTATTCCGACGGCAGTACGGCGGCAGTACGGCGGCAGTACGGCGGCAGTCCCGCGGCAGTGCCACAGCAGTGCCACGGCAGTATAGTGACAAAACTTATATCAGACTTTTGATCCAATTATTTCATGAGTTTGATGATCACCCAGGAGCAATAAAATAATTTTTATAATAAAAAATAATTTTTATAATAAAAGAAGGTAGTCGAGTGTAGTCCTCCGTCCTGCAATCTTTACAATCTCTGAGTTTGATATCCTGAAAAGTAGACGGACTAGGGATACTGGGGAGCTGAGAGTAGAGCTGAGAGAGGAATCCATTCTTCAAGGTTTAGGTGTTCAGATGTTGACGATAAAACGAGTTGATGAGCACAACCATTGAGTCGACTGCTATATATACAACATGGCCTCACCTTCTCTGGTCGTTAGGGTCTTGTTAGTTCATTAGAACATTTGAATATAATTTGAAACATTACAGAAATGTTGTACAAATCGCTCAAACACACACACTCGGTTTTAATTCGGTAAAATTCCATTCGAAAATTAAATGATTCTCAAAATGTAGGTGTCTAATGAAAATGTGATACTGTGTGACAAAGTTAAGAATGTCGTAGTGAAAGAGAGTTAACTGTCGATAAATTCATGTGAGGTACTATCGAAGTTCAAAATGTTGTGATGGGTGACATGATAATGACTGATAAGAAAAAGTTTTCATGTCAACTGTGCCAAATCCATAACAGTGTGATTACTGTCAAAGTGTCTACCACTAGGAACTTGGACGAACAAGTGTACCCGAGGTGTTCTGAGAGAATAAGGGGACAGGCTCGGGAACACGAACGCGCGCTAGTCGCTAGGGCAAAAAAGTGAAATGCACAGTAAGCGAGTTAAAAAACGGAAAATTAAAATGCCGTTTGGGCCAAATGCAGTGAGCCAGTAAGGTACGGTCGTAGGAGCAAGTGGCTCTGAATACTAAAACTGATGAGGCTGATGCTGAAAATGAAGACTGAAAGAGGGGGAAGCAAAGGAGAAGGACAGGATGCAGGGGGACAAGAAAAAAGAAACAAGAGTGGAGACAAACCACCTGCTGAGGTCTGGCTAAAATCAGAATGCAGTGAGCGGCCCATGTAACATAATCGTCCGTGGCAGTCTACCCCGTACGCAGACTACGGTCCAAGATTTCAGGCGCCAGAATACACCTTTTGGTGCAGAGCTGGTCACGACCAGGGTCCTCTCGGATACCCCGTCTCGGAGGTCGGGCCAATGGAGCGATCCATTGCTGTACTGACAACCATTGTAACCCTATCACTCTGAAGGCCCCACAGTTCCTACATGGACGCACGGCCGGAAGCCCATGTAGGGACGGAAAGTCCCAAGAGTCGCTCATAGCATCCGTCACAGATCCAAAGCAAGAGGAGAAGGAAAGGAAGAACGAGAAAAGCAAAAAAGAGCTGAAGGACTACTTTCCATCTTCAGCACGAAGGCTGTCTTTGTGCTTGAGGTTCAGACTGTACATTTCTCTGATGGTTGAGCATGAAAGTCTAATCAAGTTCACATCCTGCTCGTTAAGGTTACCGTAAAGATCTTGGGTACGAGAGAGAGTGTTGACAATGTTGGTCAGTCCGTTGTCATTGCTGTTTCCCAAGCTTTCACTAGCTCTGGTAAACTTGTCTCTGATAGCCTTCCCTTGTGGGCAGGAAGTGAGAAAGTGTGTTTCATCCTCTATGATCCCGGTTGATCCTTTCAGTTCACAAAAAGTGCAAGTTCTGCTCTCTAGAGGTGTGTTTTCGTATCTCCCAATTTCTATGCTGAGTCTGTGAGAACTGCACCTTATTTGAGCTGTTGATCTTCTGTCATCGAGAGTTCTTGCATAATCTAGGTAAGGCTCCCATGCAAAGACTGTTTTGACGTCCTTGTAGAAAGTGAGTTTCCTGCTCTCGTTAATCTTTGATCTCCAGGAGTCTGTAAACAGCTTTTGGAAGTTATTAACCAGCTCGTCTGGACTGCAAGCGTCTGCAAACGCAGTTGCATTGAGTAAAAGCGAAGAGTTCCTTGCATATGTTCTAGGATCAATGTTGTTGAAGCACTTGATGATGTTTTCTATTCCAGAGTACCACGAAAGATGCAAGTTTACTTGCTCAGTCATAGCAGCCTTCACCAGTTGAGACGATGGAAGACACATTATCCTTTTGAAGTATTTGACACTTAGTTTTAATACTTCGATCAGTAGTGGGTACGAACCTGTCTCACCCCATGCAGTTGCATTGGTAGCCCGTCTGTTTATCCCAAGGAGGAACTTCAGGTGACGTAGGTGAACCTGCTCGATTTGTTGCTTTGCCATGTGGGTCATTGAGTTGTTCAAGTTTTGATCCCTCATGAGGCGCGAAAGAACTTTTGTTACCTCTGGAAGAGTGGGTGCCCAGACTTGGCAGCCGTACAGTAAGATGGGCTTAACCAGTGAGTTGAAAAGCTTGTGGAAGCATGAGGCGTCAACAAATCTGCGATCGATTGTGCTTCTGATGCTGAAATATGCTCCAAGCCCTTTGCGGTAAAGAGAATCAGTGGCTTGTCGGAATTTACCATTGCTACTGATAAGAATACCAAGATAGCAGTAGTGGGAGACCATCTCGATGTCGTTGCCATGTGCTTTGGGACGCCAACTAGGGGTATCCGGAGCTTTACTGTTGAAAACCATAAACTTGGTTTTGGATATATTGATTTCCAGTCCCCAGTTATCGCAGTACGTCGTGATGATCGTGATAATTAGCTTTTGCAGTGATTCTTGGTCAAGGGCAAGAATGACTAAATCATCAGCCCAGGCTAGATGAGTTACTGAAAGTCCTGCAAGCATGGGGCAGTTGGTTAGGGCTTCGTTGAGGAGATCAGAGAGCTCTTTGAAGTACACCTTGAACAATTCTGGACTAAGAGGGTGACCTTGCTCTGTCCCTTTCAGGATACTGAAGGCTTCACTGATTTTGCCATTGATCTTTATATGTCCTTCCGACTTGCTGTACATGTCTTTGATGATGTTGTAGAACCCACCATTAACACCATAACATGATAGTTTGAATAGGAGGGCCTGTCGACATACAAGGTCAAAGGCTTTACGAAGGTCAATGAATATAGCAAAGACCTTCTGTTTCACTCTCTTGTACTTCTCAATGATCGACATCAGAGTGAAAATGGGATCATTACACTGGCTCCCTTTGGTGAATCCAGCTTTATTGGGGGGGGATCTGAATGTGTCGTTTGCCGGTGTGTGACAAGTCTCGATAGCAGCATTGTTGACAATAGCTTGCCAATGCAGCTGCAGACTGCAATAGCTCTGTAGTTATCGGGGTTTCTAATGCAGCCTTTCTTGTGTAACGCATGTGATGCGCTCAGGCCTCAGATCATATTACGAGTGTCTCACATCACTTGCGATCACGTTACTGATCCGAATTATAACCAACACTCGATTCGTGATCTGACCTAGACGGCCGGATGATGAGCAACGATAAATTTTTGGGGAAGTACTTGGGCTCTTGAAAAGATACCAGAAAATAACCAGAAGTACCTGCAATGAATCTGAATTATTTTAATATTTTATTGCTCCAGGGTGACAGTTACTGATTTAAAGTTATAATGATATTGTATGAACTTATTTACAACTTATTGATTTCTCGAAATATGTTTTTAATTCACAAATCAATGTGAACTAATCATCAAAATCATGGAATAATTGGATCAAAATTTTGATATAAGTGTTGTCACTATACGGCCGCGGGACTGCCGCCGTACTGCCGCCGTGCTGCCGCCGTGCTGCCGCCGTACTGCCGCCGTACTGCCGCCGTACTGCCGCCGTACTGCCGTCGGAATACTGATGTATGACCCAAATTAATATCATTTACTTTTGTTTGGGAAACAAACCTCATAAATACCTATTATTCCCTCCGATTTCAAAATAGGTATAGGTATCTAAATGTATATTTATGGTTATTTAAACTGGATTTTATGGTTATTTAAACGAATTAAAAGTATGTATAGGTATTTAAATGTATATTTATGGTTATTTAAAGGTTTTGTTGTTTTTTCAGTATTTTTTCTCAATTTTAACATAATATATATAATTGAATTCATAGTGTTAGCTGTTTTAAAGTGTTTTTACTGC